TTTTTTTGGTTTTTGGTTTTTCGAGACAGGGTTTCTCTGTAGCTTTGGTGCCTGTCCTGGAACTAGCTCTTATAGACCAGGCTGGCCTCGAACTCCCAGAGATCCGCCTGCCTCTGCCTCCCAAGTGCTGGGATTAAAGGCGTGAGCCACCACTGCCCGGCGGTTCTTTTTCTTTTACAGAGTTTAAATGAACTTTAAGGTGTGAGTTTTAGATTTTTTTTTTTCCCCCAAGAAGGTTTCTCTGTGACTGTCCTGGAAATTAGCTCTGTAGACCAGGCTCGCCTCAAACTCAGAGATTTTCCTGCCTCTGTCTCCCAGATGCTGGGATTTTTAGACATACGTCACCACTCCCGGATCTAGGCTTTAGATCAGCTGACAGACAGGTAGAATTAGCCTGGAGATCTCACTCATTCGCAAGGAACTTTGTTTCCTGTGAGTTTTATACTATACATTTGTATTTTGTTTGACAGGGTCTCGCTGTGTAGCCTTGGCTGGACTGGAACTGATTATGTTGACAGGAAGGCCTCCAGTTCACAGACACCTCTCTGCCTCTGGTCCCTAAATGCTAGGGTTAAAGATGTGTGCTACATGCCGAGCTTGTTTTTCCTTCTAACCACTCTTAAGACTAAAAAATTCCTCTGTTAGGATCAGTAGGTAATGAGATAATTTGCTTGCTCATACTTGGATGATTCTTCAACAGTGAGTCTAATTGTAATGTGTATATTTTGTAGCATTTATCATAGATTTTGGGTTTTTAAGGTTTACTTCTACATAAGTACATATGCGAACATATGACACGTGTAGAGCAGTGAGCACTTGTAACTGCTGATCCAGCTCTCCAGCCCTGTAGATTGTTTTTTAAACTCTTATTGTCTAGACTCATAGATCTTAGATCTTGTGTATTAAGTTAAAAGACTTCATTTAATTCTGTAAGTCCTGCCTTGGTAATTATATGCAGCAGTGGGTGAAAAGATGTTTTATAAAATATTAGTATGTTACTGGTTGCTAAAGGTAGTTCTTAACTTTTTATCTTGAGAAAAGGGTCTTTCCTTTTTTCTATTTTTGGTTAATTTTGAGCCAGAGTTTCTTGTGTGACAGCCCTGACTGTTCTAGAACTCACTTTATAGACCTCAGGCTCACAAAGATCCTCCTGCGATTAAAGGTGTGCTCACCCACACCCAGCTGAGAAAAGGTCTCATTGAAAATATTTAAATTAAAATATAAATACATAATTTCCTCCTTCCCATTTCCCACCCATTCCAACTACTGCCACTTGCTGTCTCTCAAAAATTCATGGGCTCTCTTTTAAAAAAATTGTTGGTTTATTTATATATTCTATTCAGTCCAGCAAACGTTACTTGTGTGTATACGATATCAGGCAGACCACTTTGTGTAAGATAATTAGCGTTCTCTTCTCTGGGGAAGACTACCCTCAGCAGTCCTTAGTTGTCTGTAGTTCTTTGTCTAGGGTTGGAGCCTCCTGGGATTGCTACCTTCCATCTTAGCATGCATATTGATGTTGTCCTTGCCCCACTCATGATTGGACAACTATCTTTGAGACTTTGTAAGTGTGTTTTCGCTGTCACATCTAGGGATGCCATCTTACAGCAGACTTTCTGTTCTCTGCCTTCTACAACCGTTTGACCTCTTCTGTGATGTTCACTGGACACCACACAATCCCTTAGTCTCTACATTTGCAGTTGTAGTTTTCTGTGATCTCCATCCATTGCAGAGACAGATTTTTTGATGGGGGGTAAGAACTACACTTAATCTGTGGTTATAAAGATATTTAGAATAGAGTCAATAATTATGCTGGTTTATTAAAGGGGAGGTAGTAGCTGTCTGTTAACTGACACACAGCTGTCGTCCCACCTTTGCCTCCCAAGTGCAGTGATTACAGACTGAGGAACAGTGCCTGCCACCGCAGTTCTTCTGTGTTTGTTGTCAGAGTAGATACATATAAAACTGATAGAGACATTTATATGACAGGGATTCCTTATTTGATTTGGAATTATTTTTTTATTTAATTGATACAATTATTGAATACAGTTTAATGATGTTTTTGTTTTGTTTTAGCATCTTCTGAGTGAGAAACACAGAAACTTTGCACAGAGTAACCAGTATCAAGTTGTTGATGATATTGTATCTAAGTTAGTTTTTGAATTTGTGGACTATGAAAGAGACACACCTAAAAAGAAAAGGTAATTAATTTGCCAAAGTTCTACTTATGTTGTTAAGCTATTTTAACTAAAAGTTAATCTTGTTTATCTGCTCTTAGAAGGGATATAGGTTTTTTTACATGACATAAATAATGGTTTAGAACTAACGCCTTCTTCCCTTCTTTTTCCCCTACCACCAAAGGTATTTAGTCTCCCTCTAACATGGTTTTGAAAGGGAGTTCACAATTTTTTCTATTAAGGTCAGTCTAGAGTTGATATTTTAGGTTTGGTGAACTGAAAGAGTCAGTTCACTGCTCAGCTTTGTTACAGAATATGGCTGTGTTGCAGCAAAACATTAGTTAATAAAGAAAGTGAAGACCAGATATTACCAGTAGGGAATGTTGCCAACCTCTGATATTGAACTATGGAACTCAGTGTACTCAGATGAAAAATGTTGATTCCTAACAAAGACATTGTCAGACTTTGAAATGTGAATACATTTCAAATGTGTTTAGTTTCCAGTAACTGCACACTGACAGTTTGAGTCCTAATTAGATTACTCTCATAATTCTAAAATTTTAGAAATGCTTTTCTATGCATGTACAGTTATCTAATTTTATGCTAATCTTAAGCAGTAAGATTAGAGATGAGATACTAAAGTAGAGCTTCTGAAAGGTGAGCAGGAAGTGCTCCATCCTTAGGTCTGGATATGGGCAGTACTTTACTTACTAATGTGTCCATGTGGAACCAACTGAAAACTTACATTTTTTGAAAGTTTCAGGAAAGACATGAGCTCAGCTTTTAAACTGGTCATTCCCTAATCATTTTTACTTGTTGCCAGTCCGTATCCACACTGAAGTTACAGGTGGAGCAGTGTCATCGCTCATTTGTTGAGAGGAACTCTGGACCCCAGTTTGGTTTTGCTTTGCTCTTTAGGGATCAAACCTAAGGCCTCACAGATGAGGCACAAAAGGAATCTTAAAGAGTAAACCCCATTTATAAGTAAAGGAAACCAATCTGGTGGTAGAGACAGTGAATTGTATATTGCTCGTGGTTTCCTGTGATAGATAAGGCAAAGTTTAACTGCTGACCAGATAACTTGTCATTCATTTGTGCATAATTTGGGATTGTTCAAGAGAGTAGTATCCCAATTATTCTAGATTCTACATGAAGAAGAGCTTTGGCTCAAATATTTGTGTGAAATTGAAGGACTACTTTGTCACCTTTAGAAATACAAATATCTAGTTCACTTTGATATGAAATGTTTTAAATATAAATGAAAATCATATGATTCTGCTTTCAGTAAATACTTTCTGCTTAAAAACTAGAAATTGTACATTAAAACATGAAGCAAAGTGCTAAAGTGTTTACGTTTTCTCAAGGTAACAATAGAGTTGGGCAGATAGAGAGCCTGGCACCTGATTCCTGCTGTTTAAGCCTCTGATGATTCAGGATGTTGGTTCTCTTGGGGAAAGAAAAGAATGTGGATGAGAAATGGGTACACTAGAGTTTTTCACATTTTAAAACATCTGAAGTAAATGTTAAGATTTCTGTGTTGAGATGTCTTAAATGGGTTTTTAAAATAAGTTATAGACAGTTTTACTAATTTCCAACTTTTGGTTTCCTTTTTTTCTTTATAAAGAATAAAATACAGCACCGGATCCCTTTCTTCTGTTTCTCAAAATGTCCTGAAAAACACTGAACCAAAGGAGACGCTACAGTTGGAGCCCATTTTTCAGAAAGACATGGGAGAAAGCAGTGGGCAACTGCTCAAGCAGGATTTTCAGTGTGAAAAAACTCAGAAGCCTGAACAAAAGCTGGTGTCTGCTTCAGAACCTGTGTCCTGCTCTTCAGCTGGAGTGGAAGGGTGTGATGGGAAAAGAGTGAGCATGCTACATGCAAGTGACCCTGACCTAAGACAGGACTTTACACCGCTACCTCCATGTAAAAATGAGCAGGAAGGAATTCTTGATGTTTCTGGATATAAATTAATTATTAATAGAAGCGATTTAGAACAGAGGGTAGGTGACTCTCCAGGTGTGCCACGGTCATGTGTAGAAGTTTCTTATCTAAGTACAGAAAATAGTCTACCCCAACCAAAATTAGCAGCAGATAATACACATTTTTCAGCAAAAGATCTACAGGATAAGGAAATTCATTTTGTGTTTGGTCAGGATTCTGACCTGGTGACTTTAAATCCACCAAAGGAACACCTACCAGTGGGGGCCAGAACTCCACCCTGTAGTCCTCAGGGCCCTGATGAGTGTGGCACTGAGAACACGGATAATTTGCCTTGTGGTAAGATCCAGCGGAAAGTGAAAATGTTATTAGGGCAAAAGAAAAAAACTGTGTACCCAAGTGCTGAATTGGATACAAAAAGAACTGAGTATCCTGCATGTGAAGACAGAACTTGTGGGTCATCCATACAGTCTCTACTGGACCTCTTTCAAACAAGTGGGGAGAAATCAGAATTTTTGGGTTTTACAAGCTACACTGAAAACAGTGGACTATGTGATGTTTTAGATATTTGGGAGGAAGAAAATTCAAGTAGTCTTCTGTCATTTTTCTCTTCCCCTTCAGCTTCTACATTCGTTGGATTTTAGTATTTAATGTGTTTTTCAGAAGTCAAAGCTATATTCTTGAAATTTTTATAGATACATATATAATTCTTAGGAGTTGTTTTGGGTTTTTGGCCAGCTTTGTATGAAATCATATGTAAATATTAATTAAGATTATAATTTTTTACAGAATTGAGTAGCTGTTGCAAATTATACAATAAATCTTGTGATTTATTTTATATAACTATGGTCATAATTGTTTTCTGAGAGTTGTAATGAATATCATTTGCTCTATCACTGACAGTAATTTCAAGTGAGATTTCAAACAGATCAAAAATTGAGCACTACACATTGTATGCTATTAACCATTGCCCATTAGCATAGATTTTCGTCATTAACATGTTAGTACCTAAAGTAAAATTTCAGAAAGAGAGGGAAAAAATATTAATTGGTATATTTGGATTCTTGAAGTTACTCAAAATATTGACTATAAACACTGACCAAGCTAGATTCTGCCAGGATCCTTATACTGCAAACTGAGGTTATTGAAGGGATCAGAACAATTCCAAAAAATCATAAAGGAGAGCTTAAACCACTGACCTTTGTGGAAGTTGTAAGTTAAAAATAATTTGTTTACTATTCGATGATTAATGATATAGTGAATTGTTGGGATTGTTTTGAAATGCCTGGGAGGACTAACTTGATCTGGTACTTGACTTTCCTAAGCACACTGCAGACTACAATTCTACTTGTTTTACTATCTTGGTCAAGTGCCTTCTGCATAGCCCAACCCATACAACCCATGTAGCTCCAGTTGTTCCACCATTTTTATACCCTTGTTTTTACCAAACTTTTAAACGTTTTAAAGACCTGTACTCATTAGGAAATACTTGGGGATGTTCTGCCAGAGCAGAGCCATAGCACTGGCTGGGGAGACTTTCCCTTGCTGGCACAGAATTGTTCGACTCTGGGGAAGCAGAGCAGAGCTGTGACAACCCTCTTCTGCTGAATCAGAGTTGTGACACTTGCATTAGAGAAACCTTTCCTGGAGCACGGCTCTAACACCGCTGGGAAAACTGTCCCCACCAGACAAAAGCTGTAACACTTCTGTTAGAATACCCTTGGCTTCCTGCTGCCAGGATACCAGTCCCTTCTGAGCTTTAGCTAATCCTTGGGGTGTGAGTGCCAGGATACCTTCTGAGATGTAGGTAACCCTTGGCTTCCAAATGCAAGAGTACCTTTCCCTTCCAAACTGTAGGTAATACTTAAATTTGTATCAATATACAAAACTACCTTAAAAGAGTAGGAACATATAAAGTATGTTTTTTAAAAATGTAAAATATTTGGGATTGATAGTGGCTTTTTATTTTAAAGTAGATTTAATGATCTACACTTTTATTCTAACCTTTCCATATACCCCCTTTTTTCAGAAAGGGATCCTTAAATCTAACCTTTCTTAGTTTTCAACCAATCCCCCCTAAATGAAGACAAACATTCATAACCCACCAAACAACCAAAACCACTCACTCCACCTCTTGTAATGTAGGCATTGTATTCCTAAAATTACATTATGATATCAGGGGGCAATAGCATCTTTAGGAACCCCTGAGAAAATTGAGATAATGATTAAATCCTGGGGATACTAACTGTACCATTGTCCACTCTGTAATGGGAAAGTGAAGGGCTTATCTGAAGTCCTGACTAGAGTCACCTATGGTGAGGTGTTTATCTAATTACTCTTTTGTCAATAAAATAAATCAGAATTCAGCAATCCAAAATGGCTGAGATCCTCTCTCTGCCCGTCTTACTACTTTCTATCTGTCCTGTCCTCCAAAAAGTCTATGATTAATTTTGTTCAGCTTGTGACTAACTTTGCCCTCTGACTCAAAGCCAACTTTGTTATAAGAATGTGATCAAAATATACATTTCTCCCTTTGGTCTAAATAAAAAAGGAAGGTTTTTAACTAACATAGTAAAAACTATATACAATAAGTACAATAACTATATGCAAATATATTCAGATAAGAATTACATTAACAATGTCCAGTCCATTTGGACTTAGCAAATTCAGAGAAAAATACTTTATTATCTATCCTATACTGGTTAGTCCAAATTCTGTTCCTAATTTACTTTCTATTCTAACTTGTATTACCAATCCAAAACTATTTTCTTAGGTCTCTCAAACGTAAACACTTTACACCACTTTCGTGAGTTTCTTTTCTAAATTTGGTAACAAGGAAAACTATTAACTATATCAACTCCATCAGAGACCTGAGAAGGATAAATTACCTGAGTAAACAGGAAGTGTGGAGCAAGCAGCTTCTAAAACTCAGAAATGACAGATCCATCTGGCTCCCTGAGCAGTCACTCAAGGCCCCTCTGTAATATTGGAGCATCCATCTTCAGCAACCTACAGGCCTAGAATATCTGGCAGAACATCCCCAAGAATTTCCTAATGAGTACAGGTCTTTAAAACGTTTAAAAGTTTGGTAAAAACAAGGGTATAAAAATGGTGGAACAACTGGAGCTACATGGGTTGTATGGGTTGGGCTATGCAGAAGGCACTTGACCAAGATAGTAAAACAAGTAGAATTGTAGTCTGCAGTGTGCTTAGGCCATGGTGGTACATCACACGGAGAAAAATACTCAAGTAAGACTTAGTCAAGTCTTCCTCCCCCCCTTGGAATTTCTTGTTTGGTTCTAGGTTTTCATCTTTACCTCTGAAATTATGACCATTAAAGGAGCATCTTCAAATATAGTTAAGCAGGATAGACATGTAAGTCAATTTGCTTGGCCAAAAGTAGCATGCTTTACCAGATAGTGTCCACGGAGGAAATCTCCATGCTTGCATTTAAAAACAATCTTATTTAGTATTGTTTAAGGAATTAGTTTATTTCAAGTCTTTTTTTTTATGGTTGTCAGTTCAAGCAAGTGTGTGTGTGTGTGTATACCTTGATCTAAAACAGAAGAATTACATTGGTGGTTCTGTTTGCTAAGTTGTGACACAAATTTTTCTATTTTTTTTAAAAAAAACAACCTTTTTGTTAAAAAAAAAAAAAATTACATACCAATCCCAGTTGCCTCTCCTGCCAGAGCAGAGGTGTTGCTTGGGGAAGCTTTCCCTAGAGCCAGGGCTGTAAGCTGCTACCTTAATGTGGTCTGTGCTATTCCCTGGCTCCTGACTGCCAGGATCCCTTTCCATCTGAGCTGTGATTCTTACATACCTGAGACCATGCTGGTGTCCAAGGGCAATGCGGCCATACCGATGCTCCCAATGCCACTGGGATGAGAAGAGGTGTTGGAGTGAAGAGGTTTTTGTTTGGTTTGGTTTCAATTTTTTAAGTTTTTCTTTTCGGGGGAGTTTGAGGTGAGTGAAATTGGGGGGCATGATGTGAAGTTCCCAAGAATCAATATAGAAATTATGTTAAAACAAACAAACAACCCACCCCCAAGAAAGTTAAGGGGTAGAAAGCCTATAATATAAGTTCTTATTTCCCCCTAAGTTCAAATATACTCTAAACTGTTGTAGAACATTATTTTAAGCTATGTTACATTTGTTTATGCTGTGGAACATTTGTTTAATGATACAAAGATGTGTTGCATTCTTTTATATTGCATTTAACTCTGTGAAGTTGTGTTACTTTGCTTGTGAAAAATACCTGATTGGTTTAATAAGGAGCTGAACAACCAATAGCAAGGCAGGAGAAAGGATAGGCAGGGCTGGCAGGCAGAGAGGATAAATTGGAAAAGAAATCTGGGAGAGGAGGATAAAAGAGCAAGAAAAGAGAGGGCAGACACACAGTCACACACTCAGACAAGGAATAAGAAGGAAAGAAAAGATATACAGAATAGAGAAAAGTAAAAACCCAGAGGCAAAAGGTAGACATCTTGTTACTTAATTTAAATTAAGAAAAGCTGGCAAGAAACAAGGCAAGCTGTGGCCGGGTATGTATAAGAAAGAATAAGACTGTGCAATTCCCAGAGAACAGAGAGGCAAAAGAGTAAAATAGCTAAAACTGAAAAACAGCCAACAACTCTAAACTTTTTTCATTTTCCTTCCACACAAAGGGAAGACCAAGGACACTGGGAAGGCTGTCTGTTAGAGCTGACTTCATGAAACTCCTGAATAGAGCTGTATGACAGTTTTTTCTATTTTTCTTTTGTATCCACAAAGCCCATCCATGGGCTGTGTTTTAGGCTTCCTCCCTTGTCAGCTGGTCTTAGGGATGGTCCCTAGGGTTGTGGATATGACCACATCTGTACAACAGAAAGGGGTGATGGAAAACACTGAGGTACTTGCTCATGTAACTTATTGGGCCCACTGATATTATTTTTGCCCAATGCTGGATAGCTTATAGTGGGCTATTGCTTTATCTGCCTAGTTTTATGACTTAAGAGATCTTATAAAACCCCAGCTTGTTACTGGCAAGTGTGACTAGATGAATGTTGGGTGTCTCATTAGCCACATGTTTTATTTCAGATACATGATAGTATCACTGTAACAGGCCCCTAGACTTTAGCACAGCTAACTCCATGGAGGAAGTGTCATTCAGTCTATAAAACTCAGCATGCCGATAGCTACACCAGCTGAAAAGACCTAATCCATCTAAGTCATAGTTCTGGGGAATTCTTTAAGTGCACTAACCTTGCTTTTTTGCTTCTGTGGTTCTACTTTTAGCTAACAGTTCTTGTCAACTGAAGTGTGTCAACTCAAGATATCATTGTGTGCTTAAAAGCTCACCCTAAGAGAGACTTCATATAAACGGAGGCTTTTTGTCCTGTCCAGTCCCTCAGCCACTTCTAAAATAACCATTCAGAGACTTAATATTACTTATAAATACTTGTCCAATGACTCAGTGCTATAGGAATTCCTACAGCCAGTAGCCTTTAAGTTACGCACATACTTGGGCATGGCCTCTGATACTATATATGCCAATGTAAAGCACACATCCGGCTTCTCTTCCAGCTGCGGGATTCAGTTGCTGTTCTCCATTCGAGCAGAGGATTGTGATCTATGAGTCCCCCTAAATAAATAACCCTCTATTATACTCAATTCTGAGCTAGTGTGGAATTTCTTTTAAGCATCCTTCTTCAACTCAGGCTTGTTATTAACTAGCTCTTACATTTAAGTTAACCCATTTCTTATTAATCTATGTATCACCACATGGCCCATGGCTAATACTTTCTATTGTATCTGAGCAGCTTTCTATGGCAGATACTCCACATTTCTGGAGGTCCCACTGAGATCCCCAGAGACTAGTCCTTGAGATGCTGGGGGTCTCAGAGTGCAGGAAGAGTGTGGTGGTCAAGGGACTCCTAGGGGTTGTGCATCCTGAGATATTCTAGGCCCCCAGGACTCCAATCCCCATCTAATGCTCCAGAGGATTCTGACACTGCCCCTCCAAAAGGAAACAAATTAGAAGGTTGCCTGGTCTCTGGAGTAAGTCTGGTTAATGCCTTCCTTCAGATTCCAACTCCAAAGACTAAGACAAGTTTGAGAGTTTCTAGGTTTAGCTAGGTATTGCTGCCTCTGAATAGCAGAGTTTTTGGACATACCAAAGCCTCTATACACCAACACAAGGTTGTGGTAGTAGCAGAGGTTTGAGTTGGGGGAGGGAGTGACACTGAATCCCCTAATTTGGAATCAAACTAAACAAAAGGCATTTGAGGCTTTAAAATCAACTTTGACATCTGCTCCAGCCCTAGCACTTCTGGGTGTCTGTTTGTCCATGACAAAAGGGATTTGAACCCAAACTTTGGGGCCATGAAAGCACCCTGTGACATACCTGTCCAAAGGACTGGATCATGTAGTCACAGGATGGCCTTCTTGTATAAGAGCTGTGGCAGTTACTGGTAGTCTAATGAAAAAAAAGCAAACAAATTAACTCTCAGTCAAGACCTACTGATAGCACCCCATGCTGGTGAGGCCCTCTTCTAAGGGACACCGGAATGCTGGCTGTCTGATGACTGTGTGGCCCAGCCCCAGGCCTTACTCCTGGACCACACTCGAGTCCGATTTGAAAAGCCTACCACCATCAATGCCTGATGATGACCTGCAGATGCTCCTCCATGACTGTCATGGGATAAAAGATGAAATCAGGCCTGTGGGAGTTGCAGTAGTCACTTTAACTGAAATGATTTGAGCCCAAACCAACAGAACCAACCAATCTAACCCAGGCTTCCTTAGCCTCCTTATTTCCCAGGGAAAGGTGAGTGTGATATCTGCCCTTCCATAGCTTCATGATACAGGACAATCAGACATGATAGGGAGTCAAGTCAAAGCAGGAACTCAGTTTATTATAGTGAGCGTCACATTAAGTGACATGGTGTGATGCAGGGGTACCTCCAGCCAATGAGAGACAACCAAGCCCTCCCTCTGGCTGGAAGGGCATCTACCTAGTTTTCGCTGTCTCATCCTCACTCAAACTCGAGCCAGGCTTTTCTCTGTTCTACAGGCCTTGAAGTACAGGTCCTGAGATAATTTTGGTTCAACAGCTCTCCATGGGGTAAACAAAACTCCACCGACATATACATGGACAGTTGCGATGCTTATACTACCATACATCCTATGGTGTGACCTATAAAATGAGAGGGCTTCTCGCCACTGGAGATGTAGCAT